TGTGGGCATTTCTTTATCAGCTCTTTAAACCTTTCCCATGCATCAGGAACAACTTCATCATCCATTTGTTTAAAAAGACAGATCTCATTTCTGGACTTAGCGTTCCTGGTGGGTGGAAAATATTTTTGCACAAACTTTTCGGCTATATTGCTCCATGATGATACAAAACCTGGTGGTAAAGAATTAAACCAAGACTTTGCCCGATCTTGTAAATAAAATGGAAACAAAGTAAGTCTTAGAGCATCGTTAGATACTCCCGGAATCAAAAAGACATCAGTAATTTCCATAAAATATTTTAGATGTGAGTGGGGATCTTCCGATGGTAATCCTGCAAATTGTCCATTTGTTTGTAACATATGGAACATGATCGGTTTAAGCTAAAAATGGATGGCAGTCATATGAGGTTTAACTATCCCTGAGATCAATTGCTCAAAGTCAGGAATAGCGTAGTCCATGATTCTTTCATTTCTAGAGTTTGCAAGATTAATTATATTTGGAGTTTGAGCTCTTGGATGATCATTATTTTCAGATTTTGTGTCATTATGTGCATCTTCATGATTTGTTGGCCCTTGTTGAAAAGGATGTCCTGGTAGGTTTTGAAAAAGTGGTGCATTTGGTTTAAAAGGCTGAAATTGTGGTATTTGACCAAATCCCGGTGGATTTTGAGTTGGTACATCTTCGTCAACTGGGGGAGGTAACGCCATATTAGGAGGGAGTAGAGCAGAATTTGCTCTTTGAGCCCTCCTTCTTTGGCGGAATGTCCTCTCAATATCCGGATCGAATTCGAGAAACTCCCTGTGGTGTATCCGTGGCATACACCTCTTAAAAGCGGATCAAACGGTGTTAGAAAAATCAAATCTCTAAAGCTACTTTAAAAAAAACTTTATAGCTTGCCAATCCCCGGCAGCGACTCCAAAAACTTGATCGGGTCTGTATTAACACACCACAGACTTAAAATCAGGACCAAAAGCAAGTATACAATTAGTCCCAATATCGTCTTTCAAATAATAAAGTGGTACAAGTACCGGATATCATCCACATGGATCATAGTAAAAGTTTGGATGAAAGTAATATTAAGGAAATGATTTCAGAAGGAGAATTCGAAGACTTTGATATGAACAGAGTTAACACAACTAAAAATTAACAGGAAATAACAAATAATAAAAGCAAGCCAGGGTGTATGACTTTTAGGGTGAGATGTAAATACTATTTCATGTAGACCAATGCTGTCAAAATACTATGGCATGAGACCGTGCTGACAAATTACTACATCAGACAATCAGTAACAACTATTTTCACCATTTATTTTGAAGATATTCCTCTCGGGCTTCACCAATACACTGATATTATAGCTTTCAACCCATATCTCTATAAGGTATCCAGACTAGTGAAAGTGACAAATGGTGTCCTCAAAATATATGGATAAACAAATCTTTTTTGTTAAAATCACTCTCTCGAGTGGATTCTCATATCATTCAAGTTGACATGTTCTGAATGGCTAATCTCTGAGTCCATTCCACTTTAACACTTCAAAGTGATTAACCTATCGAGAATTAACAATTTAGAAAATACGGATAACAAATCTCTTTGTTAGCAACTCTCTCAAGTCTACTTCCCATATCATCCAAATTGACGTGTAATCATTGACTCAAGTTAGAGTCCATGACACTTTAACAGTTTTCAGTGATCAACTCGTCAAGAAGTGTCATTGGTTTTATAAAACTTGGAATGAAATAATGAAACATTGTTGTTACATAAAAAGAGTCTACCTTATTTTGATTTACAAACTCACAATTTCCGTCATACACCCGAGCTAAGAAATTTAGCTACTCATGACGGAAAGTAAATTACAATAAAATATAAATTGCGGTAAATGAAGACATAAAGTAAATAACGGAAAGTAAATGATAGAATTTAAATGACAGAATATAAAATGCGTAAAGCGTAATAAATAAATGACGTAAATAAAATGCATGTAAGCGTAATAAATAAATGACGGAATAATAAGAGCAAGTAAATAAAGAAAGCGAGTAATATAAAGCTTGAAATTAGCCAAAAGATTACTAGTATTTAGAGAGAAAATGTTCTTCAACTAGTAAGACAATCTACTTAAGAAATGGAGGAGAGGATGATTCAAAAAACTAAACCCAACATCTCTATTTATACTAGAGATGAGATGAGGGTATTTTAGACAATTTACCAAAACTTAGTCCTAAATTAACCATTAGTACAATAAAGTAAAACTAAGAGTTTCAAAGTAACTAAATTAGCCAACAAGTTCCAGCAAATTACAAAATACACAGTTGTCCTACACATAAAAAAGTCTTTCAAAAGTCAGCTCTAGTCTTGTCGTTCAACTCCTAGTCCTTTTTCTTCTATTTCTCCACCATCAGGTTATGCTGCCACAATCCCTCAGCATCAAACAACTTCAACCTTTCCAAAATAAATCCAGATTAGTCCATTATCTAACAGAAACAGGCCAGTCTTTCATTTTAGCTTTAAAATAGAGAAAAGAGAAAAAAATGACTCAAAGTTGGGATATAAATAGAAAATGACATATCTAAAAGAGAAGAAAATGGTGTTCAAGCACTAAATAATTAGTGTGTATCATAAAATGAAAAGAAAAATCAAATAATGCTGACACTGAAAGATCATGAGCTGAACAGGTGCAGGGAAAGAATTAAGACAATGATGAACCCTCACAAGATTTCAAACATCACCATCAATGGATATATAAAGAATGGTGGTCTTCTTGTCTCCATGGTCATCTTTAGAGAGAATAATGATGACATAACGGAGTATCCCTCCTTTCTGAGCAAATACGGGTTCTACGAGTGGTTAGAGATTCGACATGCGATTCAGAAGTCAAAATCAAGGCACAAGGATTCATTGAAGAAGTTCTAAACAAACTATTCAATAAAGTATCGAAGATAATCGAGGTTCCTTCTCTACCACTGATGACCTCTTGAAGAAAAAATACCCTTTTTGATTCTGAAGAAGGATCATCCCACAAGAATGAGCACTAGACAAAATTCTCAATGGATGAACTCTTCAAGAATATGAAGAAGCTAGATATCTCAATGTTGAACCTAACACTGCCTGAGAGAGGACCTTCACCCCTAACACAATGCATGTGAAAGTTGAGTGTGGACTTATGTTCATTGACCATGACGGTCAATATAGGTTCCAACGAGTGTCTAAACTCCATCTCTGCCCAATAGAACATCTAGAATATCTTCGGACCTGGATGAATGAATATCTTTTTGGAGAGATGATGGATCGCAAGATTCGAAAGGAAATGTTGCAAAGAAAGAACCAATGAGAAGATGCCCCTGACTACATCTCCTTTAATGATCTTGACTGAAGCTTTCAATCTTGTATTTTTTTTCTTCTACTTTTTTCAGTGTATAGACTTCTAGATTTCTTAAACCAATTGTAATATCACTTGTAATATTTCATTCGTACTTAAATGAAATTTCAACTTATCCTTTGGTTTACTGGTAAAGATATATGAAAACAGTATTTGGGACAAGTACTTATATCAGTCCTATCTTCTCTTTCATTTGCTGACTTATCTCTTATCAGTTAATATGGCTTCAGTTTTAAGTTATTTCTATTATGTAACTTCATTTTCTCACTTGTCATCTTTCATAATTAAACGAATTTCCATAACCGTGACACTGAAAAAAGATCCTAAAACAGAAAAAGTGTCATGTATCTTACAAGTTCCAATCCTTAACTGTAATAGATAGCAATTTTTTATATTGATTTTTCATCATCGAATAAAAGGAGATTGTTGATCCAAACTCTCTCAGTGATTTGATAATGACTCTCTATACTTAGTGAAATATATTGGTTTTATTTTTGTTTAGTTTCAACAATCATTTTTGAGTCTATTCAGTGATCGCTAAACATGTATTGTGAACTTCTAAAAGAACAGGTATTCCTCAAATACAAAACTCACACTAAAGGGACTTTCAGCGATATCGAAGAAATAGCTGAAAATAGAGACAACAGTTCGTGATCTGACATGGACTCAGTGATAACAAAAGTGTCTAAATCAAAGTGTGATAACACTGAAGAACCTTTAGAGATAAATCAGTGTCAGCGATCAAATAAATCTTGTTCAACAAGATTAGTTTTTGTCTTATGCTTTTGCACAAAAAAGACAACCCCATACCTGACACAGAAAAATACATGCATGGAGCTACTTTATTGTCTCCAAGCGTGCATACCAACTTTGTGAAAGTCAATATTCATATACGGCTAAAAGTTTGCATATCTGAAGACAAAGGACAAGCTCTCCACTAAAAGTTTGCCATGTGGTTTGTACTCTCTGATTTGCATTAAATGTAATGGGTATAAATAGTTGAGAAGTCTTTCTTCTCAGTAAGCACCTTCTTCTCAGTAAGCACCTTCTTCTCATTCTAACTGTCTTATCTATTGTTCTTATCTTTTGTGCAATTTGTGTGTTTTTAAGATTGTTTAGATTAGATCTTAACCTTATCTTCTTCTGCAATAATCATGTATATTTTATATTGATCTTCTTTTATGAATAAACGAATTTAAAAGGTGAAAATTGTGTGCTTGTATTCATCGTCCACTTCCTATAAACTGTTACCTTTAAACTCTTATAGATATGTTTGGGACCAACAGGGTTTGTGGTCAATCTTATGCTAATCTCTCGCTAATTAGCGACAAATTGACCACAAACCCCATCCCTCACTAATTAGCGATGGATTGACCACAAACCTCATCCTTTGCTAATCCTCCATAATTATCACGGATTAGGGATGGATGGGATTTGTGGTCAATCTCTCACTAATTAACGACATATTAGGGCCGTCCCAAATACCCAATTTTCTACTAGTGAAACAACCCAGTAAGCATTTATAAACGACCCCTAAAGTCGGCTATAATATTATTCTATATCTACTAGAAAGACATGTGAAACCAACAAGACCTTTCAAATTAATTTCAATCATAAACACAATACATTGATCAAGAACTTTATCTTTATTCAAAAGCATATAGATTAATTCCAAATTTATGTTTTTATTTAAAATCGTTGATTCTTAAAAAATAGACTATACGATGATCATGATATAACACACACCATCTCCTACAAAAATCACACGAAAGCACACCAAGCCATGGAACAACAATACGACTCACTCACACAGAATCCTCACTTTTGACGAGGTTTGATCCTTGACCTATTGGGTGGCCAAGGATGGTCTCTGCACCATGTTTTCATAAATCTTTATATGATCGATTAAGAATGTATGGGCACAACAAAGGGAAGTTCAAGATCACCGTTGTCAACGACAAATTGCTTTACGACTTTCTTAGAATTCATAACAAAAACGATCTCGTACGTGCCCGGAAAACCTCGAAACTTGAATTCGCTCTGATCGTCGACATGCCCATGAGCATGAGAGAGCCATTCTTTCTTGAGCTGAAGAAATCGATTCCCGGCTTCATTAATCTCACCTTCGGCATTCACTAAATGCGAGTTTTCTCTACTCATAAACAATTCCCAGAACCCCCAAATCATAATCCCTTCAACAGCAGGATGTGCAAAAGCTTCTCGAAACATAACCTCCAGATCATCGGCTCGAATGTGCTCATTGATCGAAGAAACATCAAGCTCTGTGAACCAAATCGGGAGTCCGAGAACTCCAAGTTTTTCGAGAGCCGAGTAAACAACGGGACCCACAGGACTATCAATATGTCCTTGAATTCCGATCCCTCCGACGGGTGCACCCTGTTGTTGCAGATCGAGAATCTGAGCAATGTATTTCTCAGGTGTCGATCGTGTATCACACCCGTCTTCAATGTGGTAATCGTTCACAAACAATATAGTTGATGGGTCCAATTGGTTTGCAGTTTTGAACATGTTGGCTCGTGTATCTTGACCTAACCGGTCTGGGTAAAATGATCCGTGAAGCATTTCGTTGTTCACATCATAATGCTTGAACTGACCTTTGTATCGGTTGAGCAAACTGGTCAATCGGTTTTGTACTGCCGTGGTTAGGTCCACTTTATTAAGGTTTTTGACCCAATCTTGAACTGTGTTATCGACATCCCAAAAGATACAATGTCCACGAGCCGCAATGTTGTTATCGTCACATAGCTTCAGAAGCTCGTCAGCATCTTTGTAGTTTAAATTCCCTCGTTGTGATTCTGTCCAGTACCATTTCAGCTCATTTCCAAACACCGCCCAGTTGAAGTTCTTCACTAAAAAAGCAACGAAATCTTCATTGTCGATATTCGTGCGGCTAATGCACGAACCGATCGGGAAACTGTTTCTAGTTTGTTTCACTGCCACCATTGTACCGTGCATATTGCTTGAGTCGAATTTTAGGGTGACATCTCGTTTACGAATCTATAGAGGAACCACATTTCAAAGAAAACATCGATCATTAAGCACTACAATAAAACGAGGTTTGTCGGACGCCAAAAATGTAATTGTCATAATGGACTGCTTTATGTTACGAATATAAGATCAAATAATAAACCACAAGGGTGGTGCCTTATTGGTTTGAGTTCGGCTCCAAATGTCAAAAGTACTAGGAGGTCCCAGGTTCAAATCCAAGGAGGAATAAAAATCCCCTTGTGGCCACGGAGGTTCAAATGCGGTGACTCTGGACTATCTGCAAAGCAGGTGGTCTCCCTGGGATTAGTCAGCTCGCATAGCGGGTTGGATATCCAGGTTAATAAAAAAAAATAATAATAGTGTGCCATGCATGTAAAAATGTTTTTTTTAAGTATATAAATTTATATACGACAAATATAACAAATAAACTTACATACCTTCCTTACCTTTGATGAAACATGTAAAAATGTTAGCAATAAATTTATAGGCATTTTTGGCTTTTCAACAAATTTTCATTGGATACTTCTAAAATTAAAATGTCCTATTAATTTTATGGCATTATTTAAAAAAGTGTCTTAACATACTAATAGAAAGTGTCCCATTGAAAAACCAATACAACATAAATTGTCCCAAAGAAATTGTTAAAATGTATTGCAATGCTTTTATATAGGGACACACTATTGTTGGTATAAATTAATTTATGACGATGTTTTTGAAATAAAATGTCTTATTAGTTTTTTATACGACATTATTTAAAAAATTCTTATAAAAACAAATGTCCTATAAAAATATATGTTCATATGACATTACTAGAAAATCTCAATACGATACTTCATTTTAAAACTGTATAAAGAACTTGTTAAAACATTCTATAATCTTATTGCAATACTTTTACCTAGTACACACAATTATTTTGTACTATAAAGGAGGACAATTTCGACATTTTGGTGGTCCAATAAACCTGATTTTGTAATAGTGTCTAGTTTGATTAAGCCTAGAATTACCTTATCGGTTTGTCGCTTTAAATGCTTGAATCTCGCTTGACGATCCACAGCAAAGATCTGAAGTCCGGCCACCATGAAACTAATTCCAGCAGCTGGACCTTGAATATAAACCATCACTTTTGCCGCTTGCTTTTCGATTCTAAATGACCCACAAATTTCATGCCACCGATAAGCATCGTTGATCTCAACTTGACCACCATTGACCCACTGGCTATCGACCCCAAGAGCCACATTTACGTTCTGAGGACCAGTGGCTCCAGGACCTAGTCGAACCCAAGCCGATACTTGATAGGTTACATAGAGCTTAACTTTGTCTGTGATCATCTGGGCTGGACCCATCCAAGTCTGAGTACGATTAGCCGTTTGTATACATCTTCCGTTTAGCGGTTCATGAGGGCCGAGGGTGTCTCTTGCAGCCGGTGGGAGTATACGAGGTGAACCACTCACGACACTTAACATGCAGCTACCAAGCGGAAACCACCCACTTGTTCCATCTCTAAGATTACTATTCGCGATAATGTTAACTCCATAATCTAGATTCTGTAGATTTAAAAAACAAAAAGACTCCGAGATTTGTCAAATTCTGAATTCTATGAGGAATCCTTAATCGAATCTTGAAACCAATTACACTATAACAACGATTAGATTTATAAGACACCTAAAATGTCTAAACGTTTTAATAGAATACTTTAGAGGACTTGGGTTTATAGAACCAAGCAAAAAGATATCATATATAAAATCATTATAATAGGTTTATATAACATTTTAACAAGTCTTTTGTGACGCTTTTAAAATTAAGTGACATATTAGTTATTTTATCCAACACTATTTTGAGAAAGTGTGCTAAAGAATAAAAGGTTTACAAGACATTTCTCATAAGTAACTAATGGTGTTAATTTTTACCGGTAAGTGTTTGATAAATTGGCCCCAAGTGTCCTATAAAACCCTATTTTGTTGTATTGCTAAATTGCAAATCCCCTTTTAACACTTATATAAATAAATTAGTTGTTAGCCGATAAGTTGGCTAATAAGTTGACTATTATTAGATGATAAGGTAACTTATAATTAGACCGGTCATGTTTGATAAAAATCAGTATATGTTAGAGCATCTCTAACAAATTCTTTAAAATTAAGAAAATAGAGGTTGTGTTATCTATAATCTTATCTAAAATAGAGAAAACAATATAACATTTCAAGTTTAGAGAACTCTCTAAAATAGAATGTGAGGATCAAGAAGGATTTTTTTCTCACCGATGAAATTTAATTATAGTCATTTTATATTTAAAAAAATTAATAAGTATATTGGGATGGTAAAACTATAAAATATTTTAATATTTATTAATGTTAAAATCTTTAAAATAGAGAAAGATATGTTGGGTTTATCAGATTTATTCTTTTTTAAAATTTTAACTTTTGACTATTTATTTTACAATATTTATAGATAAACTTTTGGAAATGCTCTTCCATGACAACGTAAGTCCTAAAAGACTAGGTTTTCCGTCAATTACATAGAAGTTAAGGGGATAACCTAAAAAAAATCCTCTAGGTTTGAAGTAAATTTTAAAAAGGTGGGTTATAAGATAGCTTATCAACTAAGACTTTTTCCGTAAGCTTAAAAACAAGCTATCAACTTGGCTTTAAAGCCGAAATACTTGTGAAAACGTTTAAGAAATAGCTCAAAACGAATTACAAAGTGAAATTTCAAAGTTTAGTTAAAACCTCGATGACAGGCGGAGGTGAAGGAGGTGTTTTCGCAGCATGCTTAACCATTAAGCCATCGAGGAGAATATCAGTGCCCGAAGGTGGACCTTCGAGATAAATCACTACTTTTGACGGAGAAGCGTTTAAAAGAAACTTTCCTTGCAACTGCACCCAATCCGAATCCGTGGCTTGTGAGCTTCAGTGCCAAAAAGAAACAAAGATAAATAAAGACGCAAGCCAAAAGATGCAAGAGATGGAGATTGTGAGAATGAAGGAAAACCAACCTTGCAATGCCGATGTATTGTTCACGGGAATCCGGGGTTTGGACCCACAACGTAGCTCGAATAGTGGAGCCAGTAACTTTATTGCCAAATATTCTCACGAAAGCGCTAACCTCGTACACAAGCTTTCTTTGAACCCTTCCGCTGATATCTTGTTGAATCCCGTTCCAATTTTGTGTGCGTTCGGTTGCAGATGCAAACAACTTTCCGGATTTAGGAAGGATTTTGCCATCTCCCATGGAGTCGTGTAATGCAATCTTGCATCCCCTTCCGGACCAGTTATTAACTCCATCTTCAAATTCGGGGTTCAATATGATGTTCTCATCTTCGGTAGAGATACATGGTGCAGTTGTATCCTATAATTAGATTACAAGACCATGATTGATATCAATAAGGTTAAGTTAATTAATGGTTAACAAGTAATGGTAAAAAACTTACGTGACATAAGACCAACACCGATTCAATGAGAAGGTTGATACCCGGAGCCGGCCCTTCCAAGTAAAAGACAAGACGATCTGGCTTATCCGACAACACGAACGTACCTTCCAAGTTCTCCCATTTGTCTCTAGAAACACTAGTCCTGCAATAATGGTAACCCTCTATCAAACTCAAAGCAATTAATTAACAAGACTTAATATAAAAAATTAATTAAATGATTGATGATCATTAATTTACTTTGCAATGAACAAAAACTTGGTATCTGATTCTGAAAGTTGTTGGTATTCAAGTTTTAGGGTCGCAATGACATCAGCCTCGCCCTCAAGACACTCCCCAGAAACTCCAACCCTTGCAGAAACCGTGTAACTGGAACCACACGAAATTTTGGTCGTCACATCTTGTTCCAATCCTTGCCAATGGTGGTTTCTATTTGTAACTAGAGCATGACGGTTGCATGGTTTTCCCTGGTGTTCTTCAACCACAAAGGCATCACAACAGTTTGCATACCACGAATCCAAACCGTTACGAAAGTCGTGGTTATCGATCATATTAGAAGTAAGCTTATTACTATTCGACTCATTATTACGTGTCTGCAAGCATTCAGACCAACACAATTAATATTTATCTTGATTCCATAAAATAAGCAAGCTTATAACTGAGCGAAAGAAAAAACACCCACCTGAGAGTGAAAACTATGATTGGCATTGATCACTGATGATGTGATTGGGATCTCCATTGATGCAGTTTCTTTCAATCTCTGCAATGAAAAAGGTGAAATTTTTAAGGTTGAATCCAGAATGAAAAGCAAGAAATGGTTTTTTACCTGTAAATTAATATTGAGCTGTTTAAGGATGGTGAAAAAAAATGCAGACAATTTTCCCATTTTTATAGGAATATTTTGAGTAAATGTTAAGAAAATCCTCAACAACCAATCAAATTTTCCTATAAAACCCCAAGTAAGTTGATGAAAAGTTAATTGTTGATGGGTTTCCTTTATCTTCAAGTTAGGGTTATATATATTGTATGCTTGAATTGAACTAGAAGATTTGGTGGAGGCTTTTTTTGTGTGTGTGGGATTTGCTTTAATTGTGATTAGATTCAGTACTTGGTTTACAAGCCATGTCATTGAAAAGATTAGGTAAACAATGACTTTCTGAAACAGAGTCTCCATCTGGGATTTTTTTGGGTTTTATAGATTTTTTTTTGTTTCATTCGTATGTTTTTGTGCTTGTGCTTTGTTTTACGTGCTCTCGTGTTTATTTTAGAGTTCTTTTTATCAACGGAATGTTTATTTTAGAGTTATTCATCAAAATAGCTAAAGTCATCCTCCTTTGTTCATTCTTTAGATTAAAATTGTGCCATTATTTGTGAACTATGCTTTTATTTTTGTATTGCTATATACATACTTTATTTTTATTATTTTTAGGAGTGCACTTTTTAAATGTTTAATCGTAATCAAATGTTTAATCATAACAATGTCTTCCTCTTACTTATATCATATGTATTGTCTTCATCCACTTTGTTCTTGAAGATCCATTTAATGCCAATAATGGTTTTTTTTGAAAATGGGGGAACTAATTCCAAACTTTGTTTTGTTTAAACTATACTAGCTAGTTCATCTTGCATGGAACTGAACCAAGTGGGATTTTTAATGCTAACTTTAATCCTTTAGGTTCAAAAAAGGATAAGAAGCTCACACACCTGCACATATTATTATGGGAAAAGTGTAAAAAAATCAATGAATTTTAGTGTTTAAAATAATTAAGTTCTTGGATAATTTTTTGGAATAAATAAGTTTTTAAACATTCCAAAACCTATTAAATAACTTATTGGACTTTTTAAAACCTGTTAGATACATTCTTGTAACCTATAAAACTTGTTAATATGATAAAATAATAGAAAACATCTGGAGAAAAAAACCACAATGAACTTTTATATTTTGAATGATTAAGTTTATAATTTTTTTATAGCTATATATAGAACTATCTACTTTATACCTATTAAATTAACTAATAAAAAAAATCTATGTCATTTAAGTCCCTTATTAGTCTACACACACTCTAATTTCTTCTATTTTATTTTTAAATTTTTTTAATTCTTATATAGCAATTAAAATAATTGTAACTATTATCTATACTATATTATAAAGCATTAGACAAAAACTCTTAAAAACCATTTTTTATACACGAAGTACTATTTATTGATGCATATTACTTAAAATTAAAGATTATAAGTAAATTGTACTGGGTAAGTATAACTTATTAAGCTCTATGTTTGAATTCGTATAACTAACTGTAGATAAATATAATTAAATAAACGATAAAGTTCTTATTTTAAATATAAAATCTAAAATATAATTAGAATAATTATTGAGTTCTAACAGAATACTTAGTTATTATCTTCATAAAAATTATATTGATAATTAAAGAATAAATTACTCCGTCATTCAACCTAAATTAAATTGTAATAAAAAATTGAATTAAATAAATTACACAAAAAAATGAAAACTTTTATATATATTTTTCAATTTTTATGATTTCTTTCAAATTTATATTTTAGTAGAAAAAACATTATTGATTGCTTAAAACCATATAAATTCGTATTATAACATCGACAAAAACCAAAAAATAAAATAAAACATTAAAATCAAAATATATCTCGCTATATTGCAGGAGTACCTTCTAGTATAATGATAATAATTTAATTTTCAATACAAATATGTTTTTATATGTATTCATAAAAGTTGATGGGTTTTTGTTGTTGTTTAATGATGTTAAAAATTGACACGTCCCGTTCTAGAAAACATATTGAATGACTGCTTTCTTTGACATGTCAATCCACGTTTCCCGACGGTCCTCTACTAAATTCCAATATTATCCTCAACCTGAGATTCACAAACACAACTCAAGGAACAGATTCCTTGACATCACCTCCCAAAATAGTAATTTCACATCTTAGTCAAATAACGGCACCTTCCGCCGGTCTTAAAACCACCAACAGCAAGCTCCAAACTCCTCATTAACGTGGTTTGGAATTTGATTGCATTCATTTTGTGTTAATTAGTTATTGGAATCAATGGAGTCGCAGAAGAATTTGGAAGAAAATGGTGATGTGAAAACACCAGATGTGGACTTTACGAAAATGACGACAAAGAGAAGCAGAACTGTTGAATTTCAAGAAATGCAGTAAACAACAAATGAATGACAAAACTGACTTATTCTTATTAGCAAGTTATGACTCTTTAAATAGTCGTACAAAAGAAAGAAATGACAGGTGTTGAAAAGAAAACAAAGAACTCTAGGACTGGGTAAACCCTACAAATCAGGGATTTATTCAACAACCTCTTTTACCAGGTACCACTGCAAGAAAAAAGAGCTTTAGAGAAGAAACTTTCAGAGAAGCTTTTACAAGTGTATCTAAAGCTCCATTATAGAGAAGGTTTTAAATGACAAAAATGAGAAATGTAACTAAAGGTTTGACGACATTTAAAGAAGGATTTATATGCTAATTATACGATGTAAGAAATGTCGTTAAAAGTTTTAGAGAAGCTTTTTATAAAAAATGTCTCTAAAAAGTTACATCAATTTTTAGGAACACTTTTTTAAGCTTCTCTAAAGATTAATAAAAAAATTAAGATTATTAAAATTAAATAAAAGTGTTTAGCTACCTTTAAAAATGTATCTAAAAGATTTATATTAAAAAATAAATTAAAATTAAATAAAAAATATATGATTTAAAAGATTTATATTAAAAATAAATTAAAAATAAATAATAAATATAATACTTTTTTCTTGTCTCAGCATAAAACCCAAGAACATCAATTTTTTAAGCCCAACAATATACATGTATAGGTTCTATTTTTATTTGGGCCTAAATATAATGTTATCAGTCTTCACTCAATTCGTCAATCTCAAGCCTTCACTCAATTCGTCCTCCCTCGCCTCTCGCCTCTCGCCTCTCGTCTCACTGACGAACGAACTCACGAACATAAACCAATTCACGATTCACGAATCGGAATCGCAATCGGCCTTGACTCAATCGGCTCTCGCTCTCTGCCTCTCTCGAGTCTCGACAATCGACCGGCTCTCGCTCTCTGCCTCTCTCGAGTCTCGACAATCGACCGGCTCTCGCTCTCTGCCTCTCTCGAGTCTCGACAATCGACCGGCTCTCGGCCTCTCGCTCTCGCATCTTGTGACTTGTGAGGTTTAGGGTTATTTACTTCACTTATTTTATTTTTATGTTTCTAATTCTTGTTTGATTGCAAAACCTAAGTATGAAGCTGTGAAATTGGTCCTCTGTGGTTTGTCATTTGTGTTTCTAGCACTGTCACTGATTCACTGTATGCATAATGTTAATGTATCATGTATGCCTAAATCATAAAATTGAAGCCCATTTGTGACCATTTGTTAGAAGTATTAAATGGATGTTGCGTAGGATGCAAATGAAAACCAAAGAGAGGTTAGACCTCCAATTTTCTGAATTTTGGACATTCATCAGTACAACAAAACATGCCTTTTAGGACGCTCAACCATCCTTAGACATTCTGACTTTAAAGGAACTGGATTCCACTCCAATCTCATGTTTGGTTTAAAGGAAAATCTGGAATTGAAATCCCATAAACCAAATGCTCCCTTAGTACATTCAACTAAAATCATGCTGATGTTTGCTGAACTTTTTCATATACCTCTTGGCATTTTACTATATAAACTTATGACCATTAGACAACCATAGGTCTACAGACATACTATATTTTAGCAGTATCGATCGTATTTTGAAATGGATTCAATTGCTGATGCTCATATATATATATATATATATATATATATTATCTGAATGGATCTTGTTAATCATGTGCAGACCAAAATACACAAGCTTATACACCCACCTAAGATTGAAATGGAGAAAAAGGGTGAATCTAAAATTCCCTACAAGATTCTACTAGCATTTTCTGGCCTGAAGCAGGCTTTGACAACTAACCTTGGATATAATCGGAGAGTTTCCGAGTGTCGAGAGGCTGCAAAGATCGTTCTAAAGTAAGATTCAGGGATTTATGACGTTCCACTTCGCTGCCAACTATTCAATTTCATGACAAAAACTATTTTGCATGTGTACTTTTTACAAGGCAGCTGGGAAAGAAGTTGAGCCTATTTTATCTAACGGTTAGAATTGTGGCATTTGATTTAATTTTCTTTACACTTACATACTAATTTTTGTAAACTTTTGTTACAGTCGAACGACAAGACTATACGACTCACAAGGTTTTTATATATTTCTTTTCCTTAACTTCATGCCACTAAAAGAAATTATCTTATAGCTGTTGCATTAAACCCTGTCTACAAAGTGATCCATTGACTTAATACATGCTAATATGTTATTCTTTCTTTAAACATTTATGTTCTGCAGTCCAAATTAGAAGCAGATCTAGCTAGAAGAGCAAAACACTACTTTTCTGAGAACATGCGGGTTATTAAAGGTTTTACGTTCTCCCATGCTAATCACGATCACATAGCTGCAGATGCACACACCATCTTACTATAACCATCACAATTGGAAGGTTGAAGTTTCTTAAAGTATTATTCTTTAAATCTTTTTATCTTATAATTCTTAAAATTTCTTAAAGTTTTTGGACTTGCGTTAGTCTACACTTTGTGATAAGCATTCTAAATTTCAAGTATTTTAGGGGCATTCTGCTCTTTTTAATTTGATAAATTTGAAGAACGAGCTAAATTTGAGAGGCTGGTTAAAGAAAAAGGACAGGCTATTGACCAAGTTGTCTCAAGAGGTCTTCTAAGAGCACTTGTTATTACTCCCACCAGGTATTTTTAACATGTATTTTAGAGTTTATTATACACCATAACTAGATAATAGTTTTTTTTTGGGGGCTAAAATGCATTATATTTTGGCTTCCATTTGATTGCGATGATTGGAACTAAGAGAGTGTGCTATCACTCTCTAGTTTCTAATTCATTTGCATGCCTGTTATTATCCTAACCTAGAATATAGTTTTTACATGCCTAGTCGAACAACATTGTCATTTTTGTGAAGTGATACAACTTAAATGATATCAGATGTTCAAAGCATATGAAGAGTATTGACTATTATCTTCTACTAAACTTGCAATTATAAAAAATTGGCTTTGTTGCGTCATAGAAGCTAAATCRTGATGGTTGTAACTCAAAATCAGAAGCAAAAAAAGTTAAATATGCCTCCAAATACGAGATAATTTACTGTATGCAATATTAACAATATGTGATGTGATATTTAGGTGTATATATACAACATATAAATGTCAAACAGGTCATATTTTTTTGTGTGAAAATGAGATATCTCATTAACATTTATGTTATTAATATGTTTTGTTTTATGATTTCTGTTGTATTAATGCTACCTTTCATTATGGATATGGTGGTTAGTTTTCTTAAAGGTAGGCCACTTCTGATTTTGTTCACGAGTAAAATTAATGAACTTGAAGGATGTACTAGGGCCTTGTGAGTTATCTTTGGCAGATTTGCTATTTCTCAGCTTTCCCTTTCCTTTGTCCGAAGATTTCATCGATGGTGGAACATCAGTTTTCATTGAGGATTTAAAGTTTTTAGGCTTTTTATCCTTAATGATTTCTGGTGATTCACATACTATTTCCTCTTCAGATTCCGAATCAAGAAAGTCTCTTGTTGATTTCTCAAAGTCAAAAATATCATGAGTGTCTAAGGAAGGTGTGGGCCCAGAGGTCGATGCTTCAGGGTGATCTGTTTGAGATTCCATTGTTTCTGACTTGGACGAATTCCCAATGTTACTTGGGCGGATCATCGATTCATCAGCTGATAGTTTCTTACTCAGATCCTCATCGACAGTACTTGTTGATGAAGTGGGGTTGACAATAAGAGGATTTGATTTGGAGGTGTCGTTCCACTCATCAGAATTCTTACATGTACTATTCTCGTACACCATGTTTTCAAAATCCTGTCTCAAAACGACAGTTTTTCCATCGACTTTAGCTCTTTTAAAATTTGCTTTCGATTTCGAAGTAAAGTCGGGTTTTTGAACGCATCCAAGTTTGAAAGTGGACTTAAGGGTGGATTTATTAGTTTCAATGAAGGAATCCATTTCATTGAATCCAATCTCTTGAGTGTCCATTTGACTGTTTAACTTTTCATAAACATTTTGGGCATCTTTGTACTTCTTCATCAGAAGTTCATTGGTTTGAAGCTTCTGGTGAAGGATCTCTCTTTCCTTTTGAATGAAATCCTTAAGAGCAACTGAGTTTAGTCTCTCTGCCTTGGATTCTTTTAAGGCCTTAGTTTTCTTTTCTAAGTCCTTAGATATTCAATTGTTTAGTTCCAGAAGTTTTTCTTCCTCTGATTTCTTAAGTGTGGTGATGCGAGTCTTTCCCTTAGCAAGTTCGGCTTTTTTTTCGGTTAGAAGATCAGTCTCTCTTTTGTAGAAACTTGCTTCTTTTTCCGTTTTTAGTCTTTCAGATTTTTCAAAATTTAATTTCTCTTTCAATTTAAAGAAATCCTCTGAAAGTTTTATCACCCTTAACTCTAGCTCAGATGGAGCAGAGTTGGTTTCATTGGAAGTAGACTCACATACCAGATCATCAGAGTCGGAGGTGGATTATGCAGTAGATGTGGCCATCAGACAGATGAGTGCTTTATCTTCTTCATCGGATGAAGAGTCGGATACCCAATTTTCTTTCTCAGCCATCAGGCTTCGCTCTCTTGGATTGTACTTGTATTTATTTTTGTAATAATCGGCATCCTTTACCAATCGTCCTTTGCACTCTTTTGAAAAATGACCAATTTTCCCGCATCTAAAGCAGCGAAGGTCATTTTTCCTTCCGTTTCTATCTTCTTTCTTGTCCTCCCTTTTGTCCTCTCTCTTTTCTCTTTCTTCTCTTCCGTTTTCCCTTGATAGAATTTCGATGGTTTTTTCTCATGGTATGACTGGTACTTCTCCTTCTTGAAGTCTCTTCGTTCATAGGTTCTCTTGATGAACTTCTTTTGGAACTGTGTTGTAATCAAGGCCAGCGACTTAGCAAAGGCTTTGATATCATCATCTGATTCAGATGACTCGTCTTCAGATTTCGATTCTACCACCATTGTTTTTTTTCCTTTCTTCTTGTGATCTCTGGTGGAGGTCCTTGATACTTCCTTTTCATCAGCAGCAAGAGCCAGAGGTCCACCGATGGATACTTTATTCTTCATTATGTCATTCTCTTGTGCTGCAAGCGTTCCATATACATCATGAAGTGACCAGCCGTCTAGGTCCTGATTAGGTTGAAGGGACATTGATAGCTGAGTCCATTCATCGCCAAGACTTTTTAGGAACAAAACATTGTTTTCTTCCTCTGTTCTGGAGATATCTTCTCGACGACATTGATTAATCAATGTGTTGAAACGATGTAAGTCTTCTGTATTAGTTCATCAAGAAGAGCTTTAAAGTTGGTGTATTCGTTGAGACATTGTGCTCTACGATTCTTCTTTGTTTTAGCTCCTCCTACCAATTGGTTCGCAAGTTCATCCCACAATTCCTTTGCTGTGGAACATGCATCAAGGGATTGAAAAATTTCATTAGGAATGGCCATGATGATTAGTCGCTTGGCCTTCTTGTCAATTTCCACACGCTCAAAATCGTCTTCATCCCAGTTCTTTTCATCCTTGGGCATATAATAAGCAGGATTTTATGTTGTGGTATTTGTTCATGGGACTCTTGGGACAAGAGTCTGTGGAACGTAAGGACCCTCCATTACAGATCGCAGGAGGTTTCTGTCCATCCCTTCCAAGAAGTTTACCATCCTTATTCTCCATTGTGGGTACTCTTCTCGTTGAAGAGTTGGAGGCTTGGTGAGGGAGCCAACACTGTACGCAGAATTCCAGTTGGCCATTGAAGATATGAAGAGAGAGAAATGAGTTTTATGGAGAGATGATGAAATGAGAGATTTTATTGATCGTTTTGATTGAGATACAATCAGTTGCTCTGATACCAATTGTTGATCCTAGATCTCTCAATAACACTAATAAATAGATTATGAATAACCTAAATAAGTAGTGTGGATGAATAAAATGAAGAATACTCAAGAACAAAGAATGTGTATATTCAAAGCATATACTTGAGCATTAAAGATTCACTTTATAAAATAGAATGCCTAAAAACTCACTCCAAGTCTTATTTTACAATAGGCCTAGCTACCTATTTATACTAGCGGTAAGAAGATAATTATCTAGTAAAACTATCTAGCCAATCTTCTAGGAAAGATAATGTTTATCTAAAGTATGGATAAACTATAAATCAAGATAAACTTAAAATCCAGCTGTCGATTTGTTATCTCCAACTGTCTTCCATGGGATGTTAATTCAACCTTATCTTCATATCTTCATCGCATGCCTCTGGTTGAACTGCTGAAGAAAACTCTAAGTGTTTGAGCAGAGGGGTGATGAAGATGCTCTTTCCATCGCATCTCTGGTCGATTCATCGACCCTCTGGTTGTTCTCAAGACTTAGTCAATTCTGCCTTAACGTCTTCATCGGTCTTCTGGTTCTTCATCACTTATTGTTCTTCATTACTTTTACATTTATGAATTATGGGGTCTAACATTGGCATAGAGCAATCTTAGACGAATTGATGGTACCTCAAAAAATTGCTACAAAGATTTGTTGTGACAATAAATCTGCGATAGGTTTGACTAAGAACCCCTTCTACCATGGAAAGAGTAAGCATATTCGTATCAAATATTATTTTATTTGAGAACTTGTCGGCAATGGTGAGATTGAGATTGAGTTCTGCAGCTCCAAGGATCAAGTTGCAGACATATTCACAAAGGCTCTCCAAGTTGGTAACTTTAATCGTTTGAAAGAAGATCTAGGAATGGCTCCCGTCTAGCTTACGGGGGAGTATTGAATGGTAAGCTAGACATATTGTCTAGTATTAGGAGTTAAGTCTGAACAGTTGTAACTCAAGGGGTGCATCAGTTGTAACAATTGTGTATGTTATGAACCGTTGCCTTCCAAAGGGTATGGTAGTTATGGCCATCTACACACACACACACACACACATATATATATATACTTATGTAAACTGTTGTATTTAGTATGAGATTAATAAGAAAAGTTAAATAGTTTTCAAGTATATTATCCTTTTCTATTACTCTGTTCTATCCCGACAGTAACGGATACTTCATCCCACGGGGAAGATCATTGTTGGGTTCACTTGGTAAAAACTACTTGTCACCGCCACCCACCCTACCCCACTACTAACCACCATGCCATTACTGTTGTCATCACACCCACCCACCCTCGGTCACTCACTACACATCCCTGCTACTACCGTTACTGTCACGCCCCTAACCTAACCCCCACCACCACACCATTATTGTCGCTATGCTGCCACTCACCCCCACCCCACCCTACTCCACCCCACCACTAACCACCATGCCACTATTTTCGCTGTTATACCCATCCACTTCCAGCCACCATCATACCACTGTCATCGTCATAACTGCCACCCATCCCCACTACCCCACCCCTCACCACTATTGTCGCTTTCACAACCGCCACTCACTCGCAACCCACCCGACCCCAACCCACCACTAAATACCATGCCACTATTGTTCTCATTATACCCACGCACTCCCAGGCCCAGCCACCCGACCACTATCTCATAATTATCATCGTCATATCTACCATCCCGCTACTTACCCCACCCACCCCCACCTTATCCAAACCCACCACTAACCACCATCCTACCACTATAGTCTTCACCTGCCACCCACTGACCCCATCCCCAATGCCTTGCCCCACCCTACCTACCCCAACAACCCCACCTATTGTGGGGCGGGGGCGAGAGTGGTGGGGGCAAGGTGATAGTTGTGATGAAGACAATAGTAACATAATGGTTGGTAGGGTGTGGGTGGGGCGATATGTGGGATGGTCCAAACAAAGACGATTGTTCCAATTCTATTGAGAGATTTCATTCTAATTCCTACCAAGCAAATGCATGGTCAAATTCCATCAAATTCCATTCCAATTCTTTCAAAGTCAAATTCTTTTGATGAATTTCAATCCCATCAAATTCTATTATGTGAACCAAACACCCCATAAGGTTCTAAACGGCGAGTGGCGTGGTGTGAAGGTGAGGACAAAGGAGTGACAACAAGGCCATGGTGTTTTTCAAGGTGTGACTTATAAGGCAAATCTGTATATCATATATAATTTTATATACTTGTATGTGTTTGTGTTTGTGTTGTGTGTGTGTGTGATGTTTTACTATTAGTTTAATATAAGACCATATTGAAGACTAAAATTAAAAAGTAAACCCTAAAAAGGTTAAAAAATAAAATAAAAAGTATAAAAGTATAAAAAAAATGCCTTAAAAACATCATCACACGCCGTAATGGTAACATGGTGTTGGAGATGAGCGTTGCACCACGCCTTTTAGAACACCGGTAAAAACAATGTTGGAAATCAAAATTGCAAGCCCTTTTCTATGTTTAGAGCACCCACATGGGGGCTTGCAAATTGAATTGCAAAACCATTTTTGTCAGACATTTGCTGCACACTTGCTGCCATGTAGGATTCAACTTGCAAATTTTGCAATTCAACTTGAAAGCCACGTGGCACCAACCTCCTCTCCAAAACTATTTAAATAAACTATTTTTAATAATGTTAATATATTTTTAATGTTAATAATTTTAATAATGTTAATGTATTTTTAATAATTTTAATAATGTTAATATATTAATATATTTTTAATAATGTTAATATATTTTTAATAATTTTATAAATTAATAATG